CCCTGAACCCTAAGCCCTGAACCCCAGACCCCAACCCAAGGCCTCCTCCACACTCCAAACATCGCGCTTGCCGATCTCCACGAAGCGGCCGCCTTTCGCCAAGAGGCCAAGGCTCCGGCCGATGAAGTTGTCCTGGGTGTCGAGGGTGTAGAGTTAGGGGGTTTAGGGCTTGAGGAGTTTAGGGTGTAGGGCTTAAGGAGTTTAGGGTTAGGGGGTTTAGGGCTTGAGGAGTTTAGGGTTTAGGGGGCTTAAGGCCTAAGGAGTTTAGGGTTCAGGGGGCTCAGGGGGTTTAGGGCTTAAGGAGTTTAGGGTTAGGGGGTTTAGGGCTTAAGGAGTTTAGGGTTTAGGGGGGTTTAGGGCTTAAGGAGTTTAGGGTTCAGGGGGGTTTAAGGCCTGCGGAGTTTAGTTCAGGGCTTAAGGAGTTTAGGGTCCGGGGGTTTAGGGGGATTCTATATTAAACCAGGATCAGTCAGGGATAGTGCTGAGTTTTCAGGGGGATTCTTCATGAAGCCCAGATTGGATATGAAAAACCAAGCCGAATCGGTACCAAGTGTCATGGCTGAGGGAGTTGAGCACCACGTGGATCCCGTCAGAGCCCTGATTGAAGCACTTTGGGTTTGGGGCCTTTTCGGGTTTGAGCACAAGTCTTTCAAGGTGTTAGGGTTTTGGCTGTGGGGCCTTTTCGACTTTGGGTGCACTACGTGGGAGCAAAAGCAAAACTTAAACTTGCTGTTTGTGATCCCTGCAAGGCCTTGAGGAAACCCTTCATCTCTGTCTCAAATTCGTCTCCTCGGGTTCACCGCTTTCCCTACAAGCCTATACAAACGGCATTCCCACGACATCCGACAGGATAAGGAGGGGACCATTTCTCGATGATGTGATAAACTTGACTCCCAAATCTCGCAGGAACTGGCGCTTCTCGTCCCGACCAGCTGTGGCATAGACCTCGCAGGGCAAAAGATGGCCACGAGCCTCACGGGACTCGCGCCCGCGCGCGCCCCATCGCCCCGTGGCCTCTGCTCCAAGTCGCTGTGCATACTGCACGGCCACGAGTCCCACACCACCGGTTGCAGCATGGATGAGCACCTGTGACAGGCGAAAGCTTTGGACATGACTCCAATGTAAGACGGGTGCTTCCAGAGCGTGGTTGCCTTCTCCCCCTTCTTCAGCTTCGCCAACTCTGCAAAAGCCACGTCAACCGTGGTGTAGACCGTTGGCAACGCAGCCGCTGCTGCCGGTGACCAGGCACTGGGCCGAGGCACCAGCAGCTGCCATGGGGTCTTGGCCTCACAGGCAGCAGTGTCCAAGGCCGCTTCAGGCAGCACTCCAACAACTAAGGCGGATACATACGTCTTGAGGCAACCCCAGACGATGCCGAAGGCGTCGTCTCCACAGGAAAGTTCGCCTGGTGAAAGAGATGATGACATCAGCAACAAAGAGAAGCGGAACAAGAACACGGTCGTCTGCTGGCCTTTCTTGCCGCTGACATTCATGTTGACTACCTGGGTGAAGCCACTCCGCTTCGGAACCAAAAGCATGTCGGGTTGAGGTCCAGCCAGGAGGAAACGATGGTGGCGAAGATTGTGATGATGATGATGATGATGATGATGATGATGACGACGAACATCAGCATCACATCCGAGAAGCGCACAGAACACTCAAATGGTTCTCTTTGCCACTGCTCACTCCTGATATGAGTCTCACTACCCAATTTTCTGACCAGTTCTGATGATTATTTTGCCACTACGCCGACGACGACGACGACTCCTGATATGAGTCTCACTACCCAATTTTCTGACCAGTTCTGATGATTATTTTGCCACGACGACGACGACCACGTGCAACTGCGACGACTTGTGATGATGGTTCTGGTGATGATGATGATGATGATGATGATGATGATGGTGATGGTTCTTCTGATGATGATGATGATGAAGATGATGATGATCAT